AGCCACAAATGCAAAGAGGGAAGTTGTGCTTTTCTTTCGCTGCTTTAGTAGTTGCCCGAAACCCTATTTTCTGGCTAATCGAAAGGTTCTTTAACACACTTAACATGCTAACGTTAACATAAACATTAACTTATTGATGGCTTAATACAAATTTATTCAACGTCAAAAATTCACAAACATCGTACATTTCTGGAAAATATACATACGAACATGGATCAAAGAGAACAAACAGACGAAATAGAAGCACGTCGAAGTGATATACGTCGCTCACACATGTCTGTTGAGGTTTTAAAAAACCTCTGTACACAGCTGAACCTGGGCACTGAAGGAAATAAGGCTGACTTAATTGAACGTCTCACGAACATTAGTAACTTGGCTCAGTCACAGCAAAATATTTCTAGTAGTATGGAAGGTGAAGTATGGGAAAACATACATGGAGAGGAAGATACCAATCAAGAGGATATTTGCCGTAGCGTAAGTCCAGCTTTTAGTGTGTTGTCTAAGCCTCTTAGTGATAATGATCACATGGAAGAAAACCAAAAAGGATGAAAAGGGAGTCCAAGGATGCAGTTGATATGAAGGCATTGTTAAAAGAAATCAGGCATTTACATGAGGATGTAAATATCATAACAGAACGGGTCGAAGTATCAAATATGAGATCGGAACTCCACAAAAACTGGCCTGATGTAAAGTTTGAAAGGTCTAGAGACCAATTTGAATATAATGCACTTTGTGCTATTGGGAATGACTTGGATTTGGCTTTGAGCGCTTCAACGGGGGATGAAGCCATTCGTCATATCGAAAATGCCAGGGCAAAAACACTTGATAGAACGGTGGTGCTGAATGTAGCAAGAGAATATGGTTGGGAAGTGGCAGTCGAATTGCCACAATCAAAAAGTGAAGATCTATCAGCATATGGGGAAACGATTGAACGGGCCAGACAAGCTGCAAATTTGAAACAACGAGGGAAAAGGAAGTATGTAAATGAAAAACGGTTTTTTCGAGGAAACGACTTTTATGAGAAATCAAGGTTTGAAAACAGATCGCACTGGAAACAAAAAACCTATTCACCGGAAAGAGGAAGAAATAGACTTTATAGTACCGAAAGAGAAAGAAATGATACATTCTCGTGTTACAACTGCGGAGGCCTGTGGCACTACGCAAATAATTGCACCTCAAGGTCAGATAGACGACCATTTGAAAGAAAATCGAGTAAACCTCGTGAAACAACAAAGCACAACATGCAAAGGAAAAACTATAGTTGACTACTCTCGGGCCCCCAAACCATCAGTAGTCGGAAGTCTGAACAAACAATCATCGGTAGCATATTGGAGAGGGAAGATAAACGCATCACCTCTAATTCTAAGTTGGCTTGAACATGGTATCCCACTATTTCCAAAAGGTTTACTTCACCTATCATTGCAAAGCACTCCACGGCAGTATCAATTGACAAAAGAACAAGAAATCTGGTTGGAGTCGGAACTAACACGACTAGAGGAAGAAGGTGCTATAATCAAAGTAGGGAAAGGACCTCAAAGACCGAATTGTTTGTTAGAAGTCAGCCCTATCTTCCTAAGACCAAAACCGGGGCCGAAAAAGTGGAGGCTTATAATAGATCTACGAAGGTTAAACAGAACTTTACCCGACAAATCTTTCCGCTTCGAAGGGCTGAAAACATTTATTCGAACAGTAGGGAAGGACTGGTGGGTCATAACTTTGGATTTGAAGGATGGATATCACCATCTTTTAATGGCGGAAAGTGCACAAAAACTATTGGGCTTCAGGTTCAAGGAACACTGGTACCATTACTGAGTCCTTCCATTCGGGTTAAGCCAAGCAGTTTGGGTTTTTTCGAAAGTGATGCGCGCTCTAATCGGCCATTGGCGATCAATAGGTATTTATTGTGGAAACCATGTGGACGATATCTGGATCGCCCATCCAGAGATCGAGGTTCTAAAATACCAGCGGGACTACATAATTGCGCAAGATTTGCAGCTGGGCGGGTTAATCTTAGCAAACAAGGGAAGTTGGGAACCCACCCAGCAACCAAAATTTTATGGGTTAATACTGGATACAGTAAAAGCATTAGTGATAATGCCAGACGAAAAATTAAAAACAGCAAAACGGGCCCTGAAATTGTTAACAACTCAACGGGAGGTCACAGCACGGTCATTAGCTTCAGTAACGGGTACACTAATGAGTTTAAGCAGAGCGTTTGCACCAGCAAAACTACGTTGCTTAGAATTTTACAGCCTGATCGATGCAATGCATCGCAAACCCTGGGAATGGGATCGGAAGATAAAATTATCAGCAAGAGCCAAAGACGATGCAAAGTGGTTAGTTCAAAACTTAGAAAAGAAAAATGGTTGTCCAGCATGGAAACCTTCACGCATACTTCCGTTATTCGTAGACGCCTCAACGACTGGTTGGTCGGCAACACTATTTGCACACAAAGCATTCGGAAATTGGGAAAGAAAACATCAACACATAGACATAGCAAAATTAGAGTCCGAAGCAACATTGTTGGGCCTACAGTCATTCAGCAAAAAATTGGCCCATCATTGGGTCACAGTATTTATAGACAACAAAGTCGCACGGAAAACAATGGAGTCAGGAGGAAAAACGCCCTGGCAAAAGGAGTATATGAGAAAAGTTTGGAATTTTTGCGACGAAATAGACATTTGGATATACGAGTTCCGGTGGGTGCCAAGTGCGGAAAACCCAGCAGACGAGCTCACAAGGTATTACGACGCGTCAGATTGGAGTTTAAAAAAGGACATTTTTGAACTATTGGATCACGCATGGGGTCCACATACGATAGATCGAATGGCAAGCGAAATCACAACCCACCTTGTAAGGTTCAACTCACGATGGCACTGTCCAACCACAGAAGCCGTCGATTGCTTTACACAAAATTGGAGAGGAGAAATAAATTACGTGTGTGCTCCTTTGGGTCAATTAGACCGTGTATTCCACCACGTAATAGAGTGCAAAGCAACCACAACAATAATTATACCAATTTGGCTTTCAGCCCCCTGGTGGCCGATTATGCTGCACCACCCACACCGGGAGCTGCCACTTCCAGAGCCAGACAAAATTTTTCTCCCAAGCCTAAATGGTTCAATAGAACCCTTGAACAACCGAAATTGGAACTTCATGGCAATACAGATGTTGTTTTAAGTAGGCTCTTAGCACAAGCAAATAAAATCTTGCTACCTAAGTCATCATATGATCGCAAACTAAAG